TGAAATAGGCTCAACTCACCGGTTACTTAGTTTAGTGTTAATTTTTAAACAAAACTTTAATTTTAGATTCTTGGAAATAGGCTTAGTTAGACAATTTGGGCTTAGCCTTATAAACATAATTATTTATTAAGGCTAATTCTTAGAGATCATCCCGTGATGTCTATTTATTATGGCAGGCACTACGTACACCGCTGTGGTGTACCTAGCGAAACTATTGACTTTGGCCTGCGTACACCATGGCGGTGTACCTAGCTAAATCATAGTCTTTGGCCTGCGTACACCGCAGCGATTTAAAGTAGCAAAACCACAGTCTTAGCGAGTCTTTAACTTTTTGGCCTAACCGGTACTTGTAGATTTAATGTTATACTCTTGTTAAAACTGAAAACAGTTTAAAATTCGTTTTGTACCTTGGGAGGGAGATATTGAGTAAGTTCCCCTCTTATGTGACAAAGTACTTGTAAAGCATTTCTTATTATTTATTGGAAGGGAGGGGGCTGGGGGTGTTATGTTAAACCATGATTTATTTTTAAAGTTAACGACTTTATCCCCCCCCCCCCCAATATATTGAAATACAAATGTATTTATTAATTGTTGTAAGTTTTATCCTTTTCCCCTATTATGTGACAAAGTATTTGTAAAGCATTTCTTATAATTTATTGAAAGGGAGGGGGCTGGGGGTGTTATGTTAAACCATGATTTATTTTTAAAGTTAACGACTTTATCCCCCCCCCCCCAATATATTGAAATACAAATGTATTTATTAATTGTTGTAAGTTTTATCCTATGATTGTGAATCTTAATAGGCATAAAAAGGGTAGCTAATTTGAAATTATTCTCCACCCCCCCCCCAACCCAGTTGGTTTTTGGGGGAGGGGGGGAGGGCATTATAATTATAACATTGTATGTGATCCCTCGGGGCGTGGTTAAAAAATGAATGGGAAGCCAGTGTATCTATTTTGTTAGCACCAAGATATAATTACGCCACAAATACAATACGGGAAGAGAATCAAATACTCATACATTGATCATGAAGTCGTAAAGTTAAAGTTGTCCGAGGCATTGTCATTGTGATACCAAGCGTGTTTCAACACACATCAATGATGATTAAATACGAAATACTACAGTGAATTTTAAAAGTCTTTTAACAATAATTAAATATCATTGATTTAGTTTTACATTGGCATTACACATTAGTAAAAAATACCGGCTGGGGGGGGGTGTCGCAAAAGGTAAGTTTGTTGTGCGGACGTCCTTTGTGGACAACCCCTATCCAGAGCCGTGATTTGTGTAGACCCCCTTTTTGGTTAAGCCTCTGCCCATAACTCACCTCCAACCCTGGCAAGGATCGATTTCTTAACAAAAAACAATAAATTAAAAAAACTTTGACATAGCACAAATCCTGCCCAAGCGCATTGTGCAATGGTTCTGTGAGAAAACGTAGTGTTTTACCATGAGAATAGCACATGCCATGTTATTCTGGAAACAAATTCCGTCATGAAAAGGGTAAACGCAGACCTATGGCTTTGCTTTACAGTTTGCTACCGCTCCGTAAGTTTCTAAAATCGAGGTGTTTTCAAAAGATTTGCTGTGAGACTGAGAGTTGTGAATGAACCGTTGATATTGTGTGTACATTTTGCCAATGCATAGGGCATAGTGAAAGCAAAATGGTTGAAATACGACCATGCACATTAATGACATTAATATTCCTATGATATTATTGATATACCAGTACTGGTATTTTCTTTGGGTGTTCGTAAAAGTAAAAGGTAAATATTCAACTACACGAAGAATGTAAAATACAATAGAACATCACTTAGTATTCAAAATGTTTCTCTTATGCATGTTAGACCCTAGGGTTCTTAAGGCGAAATCTAAAGATTGGCAACTCCTGTGTGAAAGAAAGAGCATATAAAGCCTTTATCCGTCCGATTTTAGATTATGCATCTTCAGTCTGGGACCCATTTACCCAGAAGAGCATTGACAGGTTGGAGGCGGTCCAGCGACGAGTAGCACGCTTTGTCCTAAACCGCTACAGGAATACCTCTAGTGTTGGCAGCATGATAGAAACACTAGGCTGGTCCCCATTGGAGAAACGACGACGACAATCCAGGCTCTCCATGATGTACAAGATAAATAATGGGCTGGTCCACTGTTCCAGTATTAAACAGAAACTCGTCCCTCTCCCCCATAGACAGCGACGAGGCCATG